TTTTTTTTTTATTTGAATGAAATTTGGCGACTGTTTATTGCGAAATACGCTTAAAATGCAGCATTAGAAGCAAATGCTTTTTAAAGGCTGCTTTGTAAAATTTTTTCAGAGAAAAAACGTTCGATAACTTAAAATCACCACAGTTATGTGTTTTTTAAAAACAAGAACTTTCAAGTCATTTACTATCTTCTAGTTACAGCTAACCCATTAGCTAATAAATCTATATGCTAAAAAAAGACAGCAATTTGTGAGCAGTAGCAACAAAGAAGTAATACCAAAATTTCTGAATCGCTAAGATTTCTCTGCTATCGCGCAATGTATAAGTTGTTGTAAAGTATTCAATTCATCGATATTTTAATCAGAAAAAACTGAAAAAAATTTTTTGATTTTTATAGAAAATGATGATAAAATTAATGATAGAAATATGCTGAGTGATAACAGTCACAAGTACAAACACAGATAAACAAAGGTTCCGAAAAACATTGAAAATCGTAGCTTAAAAAATGTAAAAGCGTTTACTAAAAAAATATAAGGAAACTGTGACAAAAGATCTGTAAAGTTGTGACGAATAAGCAAACACAGAGGTAAAAAGGTTTTTAAAAAATTCTTCATATTTTTTAAGTGAGAGTCGATTTTATCAGAATGAAAACGTGTGAAACTAAAGAAAAAAGCAGCAGTTATCTTATGCCCCGTACTGTTTTATACTTTTCACTTCAATTGTAACTGTAATTTTGTGTCACCACACTTTTTGAGGCTCTAAAAACTCTTTTGATATGCACTTTCAAAAAAAAAAAAAAGTTTTTTCTGTTTTTATGTGTAACAGCAGTTCCGTTTTACTATAGTTAAACAGTTTTTTGTGGTTTTTCTCGCCTATTCTCAGCCTCTATTACAGCTTATTTCTGCTGCAGATCCTTATCTGTACAATGAAGTAAGAATTAAAAAAGTTAAAACTTGTTGCAGTTAACAAACAAAATGTTTAGGTCAAGATAAGTCAGCTTAAGAATTTGATTGAAATTCTAGTTTTAGAGCCTAGACAAAACTTATTAAGATGTAAAAAACAAATGTTAACCGTAAAGTTGCTGTGATCAGATCCGCAGAAATAAATTGTTGACAAAGAATAAAAAAATTATTTATAATTACTTCAGCTTAAAGCTTAAAATTTTGTAAATAATAAATTTTTACAGCAAATTTTAGGCTTTAATAGTTTTTTTATAAAAATTTAGAAAAATTTGAAGAAACACTTGGTTTTTTAAATAAAACCATAATCACAGTAAATTATAATAGAATCAATGCTGCATGATAAAGCAAATTACAACTGAAAAAAAAAAGTGCACAGTCTAGAAAAACTATTATAGTGTAGTTTTATCTGCTTAACAAACCTTTTAAAATTTAAGACACTAATTATTTAAGTAATTTTAAAAAAATTTTTAGTTAAAGATCTACACATTTTCTTAAACGAAGCTGTTACGAGGGTGCACTGATAGTCGCGATTTAAATTTGAATCATACAGGAATTTCTTAAAGGCTTATGAGGTTACGTTGTGCAATAATATAACGCATGGTCTAGAGAAGGAAAACTATCTTTTGAGCTTTACTATTAATTGTTGATAAAGAAAGACAAGAAAGCAAAAAGCCTAAAATTTTTAAACTGTTAAATTGCTACAGTTCTGTAAAAAAGAGCATTTTAGAATTGTTTAGGACGTTAAACAACAACTAAAGACTTCTATACAGCCATCTTGCTTCAGTTTCAATCTTCTGTTTATTTTGGTTCTCGTTCTGCTGTTGGTACTTTTAGTTAAAAACTTAAGCTCAGATTTGTAAGTGGAGAACAGTTCAGCTAATCCACGGTAAATTGATCAACTATTTAACATTTTCTGCAAAGAAATGAATTAGATTCCACAGCTTCGATACATAAAGTATTATCAGTTCTTGTAATTTTCTTTATGCAAAATGTAAATTACGCTTTAAAGACAGAATTTGTTATACAATTTTTTGATTTTTAATTTAAACAGTCGTTTTTAGAACCAAATTCAATGCTTCCATGTAAACAGATTTTGTAAAATATTTTTTAAAAAGCAATTTTATTGTATTTCAACAGAATACGCGTTCGACCAGAAAGATACCGGCACTTACTTGATCAAAGTGTAATTTCTTATTTCAGATCATACTCGTCTGCTTCTTGATTTTTTTTTCTTCAAAGTTCTTCGTTAGAAAAGACAGATATTTTACCACTATAACAACTTGAAAACCGGTATACCTCCAGAGGTAGCTCTTAAGTAACATATAATTTGGCAATTACCAGCAAGTTCGTTAGAAATACCAAAGAAAAACAGTAGCGTGTTTGCATAAAAAATTTGCCGAAAAGCTGACAAAAAGTTAATCTTGTAACTTGAAAGTTTATAACCTTGAAAATTCGTTTGAAGAATTTATTTTCTAAATTTCTGTCATCAACGGTGTTTGAAGTTTAATCGCAAGACAGTATACTGCCGTATTCGAAAGTTTCGCCAGCAAATGCAACTTTTAACGTTGCCTTAGTTGGTACAATCAAATGCGTTGTTTACGGTGCTAAAAAAATTTCAAACCTAGAAAATTTAAATCAATAGCTGAAAAACAGAATAGGAGATATTCATTTGAATATATAAACGAAATACCCAAAGTTAAGCCTTCTAAAATTAAAAAAAAAAGCTAATTTTGGACTTTTTGCAGGGTATGAGTTTTTTATACAGTCTAATAGCATAGGTGATTTTTAAGCTAACTACTCGACAGTCTTAAAATGTATCTTAATAATTCTTACTCAACCTGGTAAAGCTGCATTTGCACTGCCGTAGACGAGTTACTATGAGGAAAAATGTTGTTTTTCAGAAAAAGAAGTCAAAAGATTACAAACTAAAAAAAAATGAAAAATGAAATAAAAGACATTAGGTTTATGACATACACTTAGGTGCTGCTCCAAAATTTGTTTTTTTATCTGAGATTGTAATTCTACCAGCTTTTTATTTTTATGAAGACTTTCATCAGAAGCTACTTTACGTTGCTTACATTTAGGAGTAATTCACTAAAAGCAGCTCTAATTGACTACACTTAACAGTAAGAAAATTTCTTGTGCGAATAAATCCACTCTTTTTTACTCAAAAACATAGGTCTTTGTGCAACTAGTTTAACGTTCAAGATGCAATGTGATGTCGAAAAATTTTTACAATAAGAAATAAAACAGCCACTTTCAATAATTGAGAAAAAATCTGACGTACATCTTATAACATTAATATAAATTAAACATTAATAAGTGCAAAACCAAAATTGCTGGTAAAAACCAAAAGCTTTTTTATCAAGATTAATTTATACTTTACAAAGTCTTATCTCGAGTCTAAGAGACCTTTTTGTTATTTGTTGAACACTTTTTTGTTCTTTTTTCTTTTCTTTATTTGTAGCAAAACCCGTTTTCTTTTGTCTTTATCAGAATTCCGATTAACCATAATTTTATGAGCTCAGAATGCATAACCATTTTTAACCATTTTCAAAAAAGTCTTAATTTTACATGTTCTTCCTCTTTATTAGCGAAATAAATACACATATAAGGCGACATATAACTTTCAAATGAGCCACTGATTAAAGATCACAACAACCATAAAAATTAGCTGAAATAACTCTAGTTTTTATAAATCTTAAGATTTCTCAGAATTGGAACAATTTTTTCTTTGAATATGAGATTTCTTTCATGCGTAACACTTTCTCCATAAGAAATCTTGTTGTTCATAGGAAGGTACTAAAGCAGTTGATTCTTCTTTGGAGCTGGATAAAGCATTTCTTTTGGTTCTTGTTCATTACTACTCTTCTGAGTCTTAACTTCTTCCGCTGATTTCTCTTTCTCTGATATGTCTTTTTCTTTTTCATTCTCCTTCTCATCGTCTGTTATGACAAGACCTTTTGCATGGTAAAGTACGTACAAATCGGTTGTCAATGATAATAATCTGTAAGATTAAAAAATTTTCCAAAGTTGGAGATCAATCATCAGATTAGTTAGTAAAGAAACAACCTTTAGTATCGTTTAGAATTTGCTTACTACTGCTTTTTACCAACTTTTTTAAAATGTAACTAACCTTAGAAATGCGTAAGTTAAGTGAAACCAAATGCGGAGTTTTTCATTGTAATAAATGGAACAGGCACCGGTAGAGGATTTGCTACATACTGAACCCCAAAGAACACAGGATGAGTCAATTATTCGCCCCCAAAATATCGGAGACGGGAACGTTGCTAAAATCAGCCTTTTTTGAGATGACAATGTTTCATCCCGAAAATTTTAAATACTTTTGCAAATAAATTATTTTAGCAGACTTCCTCTTTGATATCTGTTATAAGTAGTCAGTCATTTTTATTTTAATGTTTACAAATGTAGTGCTCTTATAGAAATAAAATACTATACCCAACATAGTGACAAGTAGGCCCTGGAAACCTAATGAAATACTTCTGTCCTCGCTATCAACCGACCTGTAAAATATTAATACCCTCCGAAGCAAAAAAAGTCACTGCAAGATGCAATAATATTTTGGAAATGTGATGCTAGATTTTTTGAAAAGACAGTACTCGGTAAATTTCTGCATTTACAATGAACTAACAAATTTTATATGAAACGAATATTCAAAAATTAAAATTTTAAACGATTATGAACGATGAGGAATAATAATCTTTAACACCAAGCAATGTAAAAAAATTTTTTTTTTACAAAAATGGTCTTTACTTGACAAGAATATTTAAACCTGAGCATAATAAGAACAGCTGGAATTACGCTTAGCCCGGCGGAGAAGCCAGAAAATAGCATGTTCATCAAATAATAATGAAACTTTTTGTCACATTCAGTTCTACTGCAAAAACTTCGTGAAAGCTTTTTGTCCTCTGTAGCAGAACACCGACAATTTTCAAACACCTATAAAAAATTTTTATATTCAGAGAAAAAGATAAGTACAGTAACATTTAAAAAGAATCTTTAGAAGTTGAAAAAAAGTGGAGTAGCACAACATCATTTCGATTGATAAATCTCATCCTAGCAATCAAATTTTTTTCTAAAACTTTTTTGTTTGTTTTGCATATAAGGTTTTAGAATGTACTCCAGCACAGCTTAAAGTAAAATTTCTGCGCTGCTTTCTTTGAAAAAGTAAATTTTCTTTTTTGTCAAAAGTCGTTTTCTGCCAAAACATTCTAATGATTTTGATATCTCGCTTCGTACAAACTTTTACTTCTCAAGCTCATATAATTTGAAATAAACTTTGTGAGATGCAAGTTCATTAGATACTTCAGAGAGGGTTGTCTTTTGCCTGTTTTTCTCATCACTCTTCTTTTTAAAAAGAGAAAGCATAGACCTGCATAGACTTTTATACTACAGTCTGAGAACAGTCCTCAAGGTGCACTTAGAAATGATACTATACCTTTGTAAGTTTATAAGTGCAGAATTAAAACAGACGACTAATGAGCAAATATGTTGACGAAGGAGGGAAATGCTGATAGAGTGCTTGCCCTAATAGCTCGTTGAACTGCAGCAGCCCGTATCGTCACACCCTTGCAAAAGATTACATTCGCGCTTCAGACGTTCTTCGTATTTATAGCAGGCTTATATTTATGCCTCTGAATGGCATTTCGTAAGAAGCGAGGGAAATGGGATTTGTGAAGAAACATTCAGACGTATAGTTAGAAGACGCTAAGAAGAGTGGCGTGTAAATTTGTAAATGAGCACTAGATTATGAGTAGAAAAGTAATTCTATGAACGAATTGAGGAGAGTACATGGAAAAACAGTAGTTAAAGTTGAATTCTGAAGACGAGCCTAATAGCTGGTCAAGTTAAGAAATCTGTAAATTGCTGTTAAAAAATTATCTAAAAATTATTGTCAAACACTAAAAAATCCTACAAATGTAATACTACGTGTAACTTGAAGCATGGACTAATATACGGAAAGCTTAATGGAAAAAAGCAGCTTCCAAAGAAGATTAGGAGCTAATACCTGCTCTACTTTAACTTTTTAACGACCACTAGTTGCTGTTATTGCACAAAACCCAAAAATGTTTCTTTAAAAACAATTAAGTCAGAATTCATTACGGTAAGGTTGCTGTACGTCGCAGTTCCAAAAAAGTATCGGCAGCCGCCATGACAAGGCGAGTAAAATGGCAAGCCTTCTGAGTTACAAACCGGATACAGAGGTACATCAGCGCAGGAACAGTTATTATTACAGATGTTATTAAACGTTCTTACTTTGCCACTGAAAAAAAACGACAATGCTATCCCAGTTCAAAAAGAAATGCTTTAGTAAATGTTGACCTATAGTTCAATAAGAAAATATTACTCTGCGGTTTTAATAAGTGAGTCATAAACATTGCTGCATCCAACAGTTGCATTCGCGAAAGTAAAAAGAGCAGCTAACAAAGAACACGCAGCTACCCAAGCAGCAGCTTTTCGACCTAAAAAACACCTAATAAGTGGAGCTGGAATGCTAACTAAATTAAACTGTAATTACAACGCACAGAAGAAAAAAGTTTTGCTTTAAATGTCACCTTGAAGTTCGAACTTTCGCATTACGGAACTGCCCACAAACGAACCTAACGCGAAGCCAACGACACCAAGCAGTCCTAAATTTTATTATAGTATACAGACATTAAGAAAGAGTAATGTATATGGCTAACGTTTACGCTGTTACACTTATACAACTTCCTCAGTGCTTAAAATCAGTATCACTACAGTCACTCTTAATTGCTATATCATTATTGTCGCTTTAAAAAACAAGTTTAAATACGGTATTCGACTAACCCATCCATCTGCTTATTTGATATTGGGGAACATCAAATTGAATTTCAATATATTTTGGAAGAAAGACAAAGAATCCTTTAAAAGCGAAAACGTCTATGATTCGTCCGATCAAAGCTCCAGTAAAAACAGGTCGACTAAGCATTCTCTTAACCTTTTCCCAAATTTCTGAAACTTAATTCTGTTAGCACTAACAGTAAAATGTAATTTTCAAGCTATATTTGCATGACAAATACACCAAAAAGGTTTATTAATAAATGTTTGTGGAGATATAAGTAATTTTGTTTTGCGGAAATGTTTTGCACATCTCTCTTACCACGAATTATTGCTGATAACTTCAATTTTTCTTCTTCAGGACGCACATTTCTGTCAACCATCGCTAGGCTTCGATCTCTCTTATGTCCACTTCTACAATGACTAAAATTCACATCTATATGCAATAAGACATAAGATATCTGCCCTTTTTTCTCCTTAAACGTTCGATATTAGCGTATTACTGTCATTATCGAGAATGCTTATGCAGTACTTTACAGTTTTTCAGAGTACTTTTTTGAAAAAATTGTTCTTCATCTTTTTCCTATCCGTACATCACATGAGTAAAAGTTTTCTTTTTTTTAGGCTGAACCGTAACAGATTTGAGAATGATGTAATGCAGAAGTATTTTTTATATTACCTTTGCGAAATAAATACGATATTTCAGTGACTTTTTCAAGTTCTTATTTTTGTTCTTTCTTTTGACATTTTTTGTTCTCTAATGCATTCTTTTTCTTTCTGTTTCAGCTCTTCTAAAAACTGTTTGTTCATCCTTCTTAGAAAAACTCCAAATCAAAATGCATTTGAGAACAGTAACCAAAACTGTTAACGTTTGTTCAACAAAGTAATATTTACAAGTGCTTTGGTCGTTTTCGCATACTGCCATTTGAGGCACCATCTTTACCCTGAATTTAAAATTTTACTTGGTTGTTACTAGTAAGACAAATTTATAAAAACAATTATTCTTGCTAAACTTCTTTACATTAAAAGATTTCCTTTTTATTATGTTGAGTATTTAAGTAAAGATAAGAAAAAGGAATATTATTTAGGCTGTAGAACTACTACATTTTTTAAAACAGTATCAAGAAAAAAAAAAACATTTGTTTGTTTTGTAAGCGAAATGTCTTCGCCTTCTTCTTTCCTGTCTTCTCCACTTGCATTGCTTCTCTTTCTTTCTTTCACAAGTAAGGGGAAAATAAACAGAAGAAATGATGGAGGAAAAAGTGTTCCTCCAATGATGAAAAACCCAAGCCACCACCGTCCAATCCACATTGGATCTTGTGGAGTGATTCCGGGAGGCTCTGCAAGTAATCAATTTTTACCATTTTTTAAAAGAATTTTTATACAATTTTTTTTTAAAAATTTACTGTAACTGATAAATGCATAGATATTTTGTAAACGCTAGAAATAGTTCAATGTAGAGTAGCAGCAAAACTTTTTAAGACCAAACCAATAAAAAAATTTTTCAAGAGGGATACTGACCTGGGTTTAAAGACTGTAAAAATAAATAAAAATAAAATTACTTTCATCTGTATAATATTTTTTGTTGACATGACTTCCAATAAAGAGACCAAGCACTGGACCAAGAATTCGAATAAAAAATAAGATTGCTGGAATTAACAACATATAATATAAAAAACCAAAAAATAAAGTTAAACATTAAAAATGTTCAAAGTAGTACCAAAATAGACCGGCAAATTTTTTTGCCTGACATTATCATCTATAAGAGGTAAGCCAAGAGAAAACGGCATAGTGCGTCCAACGCCAAGAAAGAGTAATCCCGTAAAAATTAATGCAACAGGTTTCAGATTTGAGGAGGTTTTAAAACAGTGGAGATTTTCAACCTAAATTTAATCTAAATTTATAGTTGTAAATCAGTGACTTATTTGTAAGCGAAGCAGTAATTACCAAAAAAATTTTTTTGATTTTTTTTGTGTTTTTTAAATTGTAGCATTTTTTAAATT